TTTTTTGTATCCTGTATTGCATAATCATTTATAAGTAGTGCATTAATCAACACGTTTATCTCTATATCGGCAGTGTACACATCTACTTCTCCAGACAAAGACTCACCCATACAAAAGAAATTATTTCTTCTTCATCCGACTTATTTATTCCTCATTGCCCTGAAGATTCCAAGCCTAAAGTGGGAATGGTTTTCAAATCATTGGAGGACGGATTCAATTTTTACAAGCAATATGCTTCACTGGCAGGTTTTGATATTCGCAAAAGCACTAATTTGAAGGTTTCAGGTATTGTTGTTTGGCGGTACGTTGTATGCAATTGCGAGGGTCATAAACATTTTGCACCCATTGTTAACAAACCCACTCCCGATGATGGCGTGCCAAAGGCAAAACAGAGGAGGCGCATTTCGAATCGTGTAGATTGCAAGGCGCGTGTGGCGTTTCGGCTCGTAGGTGGTGTAGGATACACCATATCGTCATTCATAGAAACGCATAACCATCCAATGTTGTCCCTTCCATCTAGGCCCATTTTGAAAATCAACAGAAACTTAGAAATTGGCCACAAGAAGTTTATGTTGAACTGTGCAAAGGCGAACATTGGCGCAATGAAGTCATATCGATTGTTTAAGGAATCAGTTGGTGGCTACAACAATGTGGGTGCCACTGCCGTTGACTTTAAAAATTTCAAACGGGACTTGAAGGCATACATTGCAGGTGCTTATGCTCAAATGCTCATTGACAAACTATTCAGAAAGAAACAAACATGTTCTGCATTCCACTTTGATTATGATGTTGATGGGAGTGACCAGCTAACTAGGGTATTCTGGTGCGATCCTATCGCTAGGAAGAAGTACGTAATGTTTGGAGATGTCGTTTCGTTTGACGCAACCTTCAACACAAATAGGTATATTGTTTAATGCCTTATATTATTCTTTTAAGAATATGCACAATACTATTAAACTAGCGTTGTCATCCAATTCTTTGCACACCTGCATATTCATACTATTTTCTACATATTCATATTGTTTCGCATTTTTTGTATTCTGTACTGCATAATCATATTTACGTAACGCACTAAACACGTGTTTTCAGTGATTGAATTACTTTGGTGTTGGCGTCTTACCCATCGTGCAGGTACAAAATGGTTTTTACGCCATTCACTGGTGTAGACAACCACCGCAGATCTGTTACCTTTGCAGCTGGTCTGTTGCGCAGAGAAGATGTTCCTTCATACAAGTGGTTGTTCAATCGCTTTCTTGATGCAATGGATCATGCTCCGCAATGCATAATCACTGACCAAGATGCTTCAAACGGGACTTGAAGGCATACATTGCAGAGATAAAAGTGCTTCCACCTCAACCCGCGCACAA